TGAGAAACTGGTCAATGAACATGCACTTAGATTTGATAAACATAAAGTAGGAACCCTATGTGTTTCTTGCTGAGCATACTCGGCCTGTTTTGAGAAACTTGTTCCATTGGCTTGGACTTGCTAGTATCAAGAACCCCCGTGATATTGAAATTGGTCCCTCAATATCATTAAATGATAGCTTATCGTGTCTGCCAAACACCCTCGCTATCATGCCTTTCCCCTAATATAGTGAAAAAGAATATTCTAGAGGAATATTTACTTAACAAATATTCTCTTACCTCTGTAGCTCCAATACATTAGCTCAACAAGCGACCACAGAAGAATTGTGCAGGGCCCCAACCCAAAAACCCATATTGACCTAGTGAAGAAGCGAAAAGATGCTTGTTACAAATGCCCCACCAAGAATCTTTGTGACTTTAGAGCTCCAACACAAGTAGTGACCAGAAGAGGACCGTGCATGGCTCTGTCACACAAGAACCCATGCCCTACCACTCAAAAAACACCAAGATGCTCTAGATGCTGTAAAATCCTAAATGTGGAGAATCTTCATGAGGATAGATACTGCAAAATGAAGAACCAAAGATTGAAGAAAGAGGAAGAAGAAAGCAGAGAGTGAAAAGTTCTAGACTATAGGGAAAACCCATTGGGATAAACTCTAGGGACCACTCACAAATGCCCAAAAGAGGCATTTGCCAAGACAACAGGAAAAATAAAAGAAGAAAGAAAGTGAAAGAGAGAAGAAAGATAATGCTGGAAGGTAGAGATGAAGTAAAAGTAGTCATTGCTCATAACCAAGAAACTACTACAAAGTTAATGTAAATTCAGGTTGCTAAATATGCTGGCCCAAAAGGGATCTCCACAATAATCCAGAAATGTGGCAAATACCTAGCCAAGAAATATGCTGAAGGGGGGTGCACATCCACATCCTCAAAGAACTTATTGCCAATTTTGGGTCCATGGACATTTTCAGTTGCATTTTCTAAGCCAGGGCATTTGCCATTACCACCAAGTTGAGTGAAGATCTTGAGATATTGATGCAGAACTCACTCAATTCTTTTTCTTGTGAAGATATGTGCCTCCTACTAATCTGTGCTGCTGCTCCCACAAAGTAGATGTGAAAATGAAGTGAAAATTAAAAAAGAAGTGGCATTCACCATGAAGAAATATTGACACTAAACCCAATTGATAATGAGCAAAAGAGAAGAAAAGAGGACGGATGTGAAGAGGAAACTCTAATGTGCCACTCCAAAGACTAATTAAAGGCTCCTTCAAAGTCACGACCACAAATACCATGAATGTGTATTACATCCAAGCTTGGAGTAAGAGATCTACTATGAAGCATTGGGCATAAGGACTCTCTAAAGAAATAAGAGATCAAAGTGTATAATAGAAGTTCAAAGTTAGGATTTAAGAAGCCAAGAACCCCTTGTTATGATGATGAGAACCATGCAAAGCTCAAAGAGAAAAGAAGAGAAGAGAAAAAGCTTACATGTGCCTAAATCTAAATGCCTTATTGTAACCTACAAACAAGATCTTTGTGCCTATATAAAGCATTCATACTTCACTAGCGGGAAGAAAAGAAAAGACAACTTCCAAGCAAGTAAGAACTCTCTCAAACATGGCTGATATTGAATGAAAAATGATGAAACCTGTGTTTAGAGAAATCTCTCAAAGAGATCTAAAAGCTTGAGAAAGAATCCACAAGAGAAAACACTCAAAACAAAGGCACAAAACACAAGAAAAGAAGGTGCTTAAACAAGGATCCTTGGGCTCACATATTGTGAAACTGAGAGTGAAATTAAGAAAGATGCACACTGTTAAAAATCTTAGGAGAAGATCTACCTGTATAACAAACAACACAAGAAATGGAGCTTCAAAACGAGAGAATTTACAATTGAAATTTAGAGTTGCAAAAAAGAAGAAAGAAAATGAAAGGAACCAAAAGAAAACTATGAAATCTACAGGATTTCCCAACCCAAGACACCGCCAACAAGAACTAGAGGTTCTAGTCTGGACACAAGTACAACAAAACTATAGAATGTTGGCTTGCCTAAGGCATTCCACTGTGATCACCATTTATTGAGGGGGCTAACCCTTAACATACTCTTGGGAGAAAGACAAAACTCTATAGATGTGTTATAGAGAGCACAATGGTAAATCCTTAGTTAACCTCTAATCCCCTTGGGGAAAAAGAACATTCTAGAGGAATATTGTTCAAGGAATATTCTGGGAATCTCTATGACTTGGAATGTGCCAGCTCAATAAAATAAAAAAGTAGTGAGTATGCAAGAGATAGAAGCATAAATATAAAATTAAAGGAATTTCAACCTTTTTTATCTATCTTTTTATAAATAAAAGTTATCTTTATGAAAGTAAAGCTTAATATTATATTTTTAAAAGTTAACTTAAATACATTCAGTTTTTTACAACCATATTACACTTTATAATTTAAAACCTGATTTTCTATATCAAAATAATATGGTTTATATAATTTTATGGTTATTTCTTCTTAGTTTTAGTTGTGATGCTCAACCACCTCAAGCAAGATGGAGCGTAATTTATGGTCATTTTTCTAATAGAGACATTTTTATATTAATAGATAGATTTAGAGTTTTAATTAACAGCATAAATCCCAATATGCTTATAACAGTTGGTAATAATGGAACTTATCATGGATGGGAAGTTTTTATTGGTAATCAAAGGCAAAGAGTAGCTATGAGACTTTATATAAATCTATTTGATATAAGAAACTTTCATAATTGTAATACACTTCCACCAAATTCTCAGTTTCAATCTTTTTATGTTCGTAATATGTTTTTTCAAATGTTACGCATTTTAGAATATCATGTTTATCAATATGCCCCAAAAGCAATGATTGTATTATATAGATATTTTTCAATAGATTATTATGCATTAGGAAATTCTACTAGACATCCTAAGGAAATATACCCTCATATAGATTATCCCAAAGGCCTACCTGATGATAATGCATTATATAACTCTATTGATCATGATATTTTACAATGTTGGCCATATCGCACACAATTGATAAGTGGTCCTTTAAAATTTCTTGGTACACATATAATAAATAATAATGCTTTAGTATCTACAAACAATGAATTTAAAGCAAAATTAAAAAATTGTAATTTACTAGTTCAAGATGTTAAGAATTACAAAACTATATGGTCTACTATGTCCATTAAATATGATACATTTTGTTATCTTCACCTTCAAAGTGATGGTCAGTTACTTATAATTGATGATAAAAGCAATATATATTGGAAAAGTGATGTTTATAACCAAAATTGTCTAATATTTGCTGTTTTAACAATTGAAAATAATGGATATCTAACAATAAATTCTTTTTCTAGTACTCATAAAAAGTTAATATGGAAAAATAAACCTTAAATTAAGACCTCATATTAGTTTTCATATTTTGAAACTTTTAAAATTTTAAGTTTTCAAAATTTTTAGTTCTTGGTTTGATATTGGATATATTTGAATATTCTAGTATATACTATAATCCAATGCAGAGAGAGAGAAAGAGAGAGAAATAGAGAGAGAGAGAGAGAGAGAGAGAGAGACCACCTGCTCTATTGCTGTCATTGCCTCTGACTCTGATGATTGCTAACTAGGCAAATGGAGTGGTAAGGTGAGTTTGCAGCTCTGAGTAGATGTGATGGCTTCCATGTTGGGATTGCCTCCAGATCACTGACAAGCTGGAACCCCATCATCACTCTGTATTGTTTTAAAAAATAACAAATATTTAAACATAAACTGTATTTTTGTTTTTTTATCAGCATGCTTGCCAGTTGGCAAGGAAAAATATTACATCTGTTTATCAATATTAATTAAGTAATACTCAATATCAACAATACAAGAAAGCCAATGCAACACAAAACAAAAAAGAATTCCCAAGCTCATCTTAGTTCTTTGAGCCATATTAACATAGGGGGGGACTAAGGCAGATTCAAAGTCCTCCCATATCATATGTAACATTCATCCCTCGAGGCAGGAAAGAAGTGATACTTCCTTGCATTTGCTCAGATCATCATGTCAAATTCTTTGGATAAAGCAAACCATAAACAGAAGGCATCCAAGTGAATTATATTACTCAAATGGTAAATCTAGTTTTTATAGTTAAGAAATGATACAAAATAATAATGACAGTTCTAGATAAAAATAGTAAGTACTTGAATAAATAAACACACTGAGGAAATTGTTTTCCTCATCTAGCTTAGTACAAATGGCAAATTCTAAATCTAATTTACTAATACTCAACAAAAAGGTCTAATCATGAATTAAATAACTATCTTACTATTGTAGTAATTAAAAAAAGAATGCCAAATTGTATTCTTATTATAAAATCATTGTTAATGAAATTGCATTTAGCTAGTGTATTTCATTTAATAAAATTGGCAATTGATTGATGACACTATTGATCCTCATTATCTTCTAAAGTTCTAATGATTCAATTTTCATCCTATCTTGTGCTATACAAATTATAAAGAGATATTCAAAATTATATGCAAGACTTTTATGGAGGGACTTGAATGGGCATGGTAGCAAGAGTGCCCAAGCTATCACAGAGTTGGCAGATTAAGTTAGAGTAAAGAGAACTAGGAGTTGGGCTAAATATGCTTAGCAAGAAACAGACCCTTCTAGCTAAATATAGATGCTAAACCTAATATACCAATGGAGTTTAAGGCTAAAACATATGAATTTAAAAATATTTTTACTACGTTATAATTTGAGAATGATTAAAATTCATAACTTAGCTTGAATTTGAAGAACCTAAGAATACCATATAATCTTTTAAAGGAAGTATAAAACAAATATCATCTTTCGGTCCCAGCAGGTATGCTAACACTTCAGAAAAACTTTATAAAAGTAAACTTTATAGTAGTTTCTTAAAATGGCTTTTATAAATGATCATTTATTTTATATTGTAAAGTATGTAAATACACAGATATTCACACAAATAAGCGCCCTTCCCTGGCCGGGCCTAAAGCCTCCAAAAGCCCTGAGTTAACAACATAGCGGCAAACCACGCCTTAGAACTACTAATCGTAGAAAAAAAGAAATTAATTTTACCTTGATAAATCCATGCCTTCCGGGGGAAACTTGTAGAGCAAACGATGCAGCAACGCTCCTCCAAATTTCTGGGGAAAAAAAATCACTGCATTTGGTCCAGCATCAAAAGTGTACTCTGCCTGGAATGTTCTCACATCAATGTAACGAAATCTGATTAAATAAAAAAATACCTGAGGACTTCGGGCTTGTTCCAGCTCTCCACGAGTCCAATGATCCTTCTGGAGGTATCGTTCCTGTAGAAAAATGGTGGAGAGGTGTCGAGGCAAGTTTCATGGAACTGGTTGCTGTCCGTCTTGGCAAAGGAAGAGAAATCGCGTTTGGACAAAGCTTCTTCCATCTCCGTGATTCTCTTTGGCACTACTTCCTGTTTGGGAATATAAACTTACATATGCCAGGAAGTCAAAAATCGAGAGAGATGGCTCGATAATGTAGGAGTGGACTTGTCTGGACAGACTCTTGCATGTCCGATGTACTGCTCACTTCTTTCTGCCGCTAGAAATAAAAATCACAACTCAGAACTTCCAAAGCTTTATAGTAGCCACACAAATCACAATCCGAAGATCATCCCACTTCGTGACGCTCTACAAGCGGAACAGCAATGCTATCTTTTCTATCGTCCCTCTTCACAGCACACAAGAAAGCATGTTAGTATATCAAAGTTTTTCTAGGACAAAACAAGCACCTTTCCCATCTCCCACTTGACAAATCCTCCATGGAGACTACGGGAACCACGCTTTTCTTCTTTATTTCCTCGGCTTGAGACGACTTGGACGAGGATTTAATCCAAATGCCAGAAGCTCTCCTGGAGCGGTCCAGGGGGATTCAACTCGGGTCCGGAAACGGTCCAGGTGGTTTTAATGCACAGGGTGGAGGCATGGAGCGGGGGCTGGAGCGCATCGCCAGAAGTGGGGCGGGGACCCGATCATTGGCTGGCTCCTGAGAGGCTGCGAATCTCTCCAGCCCTCGATATCGACCTGGGCTTGTTTATGCTACCAGGACCAGGAGTAGCGGACGACTCTTTCATCGATCCCGAGGATGAGAATGCTTGGACAGATGCCGTGGCGATGCTCCAGCATTGTCACCATTCGTCACCACCTCTCCCAGAACTGGGCGTTCGTTCCATCGAACACCTCCATCTCTCTCCATGGAGGCAAAGAACCATCCGTGAAAACGTTGAAAGGTAGCGTCGAGTTGATCTCATCGGCGCTGTCCTCCTTCGTGCATATCAGGAAGCGAAAACCCCCATAAAAGACGTGAGGATGATCTGCCACTACCGCCGGGAAAGCTTCTTCTCCCTGCGGCGCATGGTTCTCTCGAACAAAAGCCACGAAATCTTCCGCCGCTGTCGCATTCCTCCCTCTATAAACCCTCGTCTTCTTCTTCTTCTTCCTCTTGTAGATCGCTCAGCTTCCCCCATAATCGATCTTCTCTTACCCGCATTCCCCTCCGACTAAAACATTGAAGAACCCTAAGAAATATCATACTTTAAGTAAAATGGTAAAATGGCAACGTGAAAATTCCTAACCCAAGTAGGTTAAAGGAGGAGGGTAAGAAGATGGAATAAAGCTGGATTTAGTAAACAAGTAACGGTATTCTTTAATTCGGCCACGTGGCCGTCCTTGCATGTGACACTTTGTCGCGCGCCACCACACACCACGCGAAGCCCGTCGTTTTTAGGGTTTGCCAGTTCACTGTTTGGCACCATACCTATAGGTGGTTGCGATGAACAGCAAGTCTAGCGGAGAAAAGAATTTGGTCGACCAAGCGAGAAATCCTCGCTCCCGATCGTCAGGAAATGCGATCGCCATCGCTTGACGTGATCAAACGATAGAGGAAGAAGAAATGGGGCTTTCGTCAACGATGGCTATGGCAGCGCTCTCCCGGCTCTTTCTTCCCTGTGCGCTGCTGCTCATCCCTCTAATCCTCTACTTCCAGTGTAGCTTGCCCGCCCTCAACCTCGCGGCGGCGCCCAAGAGCTCGAATTTGGCCGAGAATCGCCGCTTTTCGGCGGGCATGTTCTTGATCGATCGAGGTACGTCGCTGCTCCACAGCTGGAGCGACGAGGAGCTCTTCGATCGCGCCATGGCGATGCACAACGCCACCGTACTGCCAGAGCAAATCCATTCGCCAAGATTGTTGGGTGTGAGTCATAAAATCTTCAAGAAATTCGAGAATGATTTGGGTGCCACCATCGCCGCCAACGCTGCCACCGCCGCCACCGCCGCCGCCGCCGCCGCGCCGCCGGTTTCCAAGGTAGCGTTTCTCTTCCTAACGACTGGGGCGATCCCATTCGAGCCGCTGTGGAATCGATTCTTCCGCGGGCACGAGGATCTCTACAACATCTACGTCCACGCCGATCCCTTCCAGTTCCGGGCATTCAATCGCAGCAGCGCCTTTTGGGGGCGGATGATCCCCAGCGACAGGACCGAGCGAGGAGCTCCATCGCTCGTCCTGGCCATGAAAAGGCTCCTCGCAAACGCGCTCGTCGACGATCCCGAGAACCAATTCTTCGCCATGATCTCCGACAGCTGCATCCCTCTCCACGGGTTCCACAGGCTCCACAAGCGCCTGGCAGCGTCGCCGCGCAAGAGCTTCCTGGAGATCATCACGCAATCGGACCTCCTCTGGTCGCGATACAACGCCCGGGGCGAGGGATCCATGCTTCCGGAGCTCCAATTCGGGGAATTCGCGGTGGGATCGCAGTGGTTTGTGGTGACCCGCGATCACGCGCGACTGCTGGTGGGCGAGCGGCGGCTGTGGAACAAATTCCGGGCGCCCTGCCTGCCCGAATTCGCGGCCTCCTCGTGCTACACCGAGGAGCACTACTTCTCGACCGTGATGAGGGTCGAGGATCAAGCCGGGAGCCACGGATTCACGCTCACGAATGTGAAATGGGCCGAGAACAACGATGGGCATCCCACCATGTACCGCGCCGAGGAGATCGATCTAGGGTTCCTCCACGGGCTGCAAGAGGAGAGCGATGGGCGATTCATGTTCGCGCGCAAGTTCCATGCCGACTGCCTCGACCCTCTCTTGAGGTACGCCGACGCTCTCCTCAAGCACTGAGGAAGAAGGGCGAATATTCCAAGCTTGGGAGAATATTCCAAGCTTGACCATGTTTGACCAGCGACTTAGTGAGCTTTAGAGCTTTTGGAGGAGGGTGATGCCCAGCGCGATGGAGAGGAAGGTAGCGATGGAGATGCCAAAGATGCCGGCGAGGATTCCCGGGACGATCAAGCTCGTCCAGCCTTTGGCGGTGGCCATTCCAGCGGCGGTCGTGGGGCCGCCGACGTTGGCGTTGGAAGCGAGCAGGAGCAAACGCTTCTCCACTCCAAGGAGCTTCCCGACTCCCAGGACGATGAGCAAATGGACTCCAATCTGGACGACGCAGAAGAGGAAGAGCGATGGAGCGGTGGCGAGCACGGAGCGAATGCTCCCACTGGCACCCACTGTCGCGAAGAAAACCTGTGGATGATCGAAGAGATGGTGATCGAGAGAGGAAGGTTGGTTTACCTGCATGAGGAGGAGAGCGAGGCCTTGGCCAGTCGATACCAGCGGGCCGAGACGTGATGGAAACATCGTTGCCAGGATCACGGCCAGGGCTGTGATCACCGCCATGCTTCCACTGCGATATCCGATAATGTTGGAGCACCACACTCCTGCCGAGCACACTCCGGCCGATATAGCCAGCGCAAAGGATGCCTCGAGCACTTTGATCTCAGCTTTCTCGTTCTTGCTTTCGGGAGAAGTAGCTGCGGAAGAACTCTCTGCAAGGATCAAGAAGAAAGTTAGAGAACACAAGGATGAACTATTCTCGAGACCTGTTTTTTCTTCGGCTGCAATGGAAGATGCCAATGCGAAGAGCGTCGTGAAGTACACGGCACAGATCAAGTTGTCAGCCGCGAGACCGGATGCTACCACCGACGGCGATGCTCCAAGTGCCTCCGAGACAGCAACGTAGTTCACGGCTGTAAACTAGTCAGGAGCCACGATCGATTCATCGAGTCGAGTCGATATGATCGATCGACTGCAGCAGCAGTAGAATAAGCAGGAAAAATCTCTCTTTTTTTCTTCTTTACCTCCACCAATGTGCCTGCTCATGAGCGCCGCAGCAATCTTCCATCCATCGGTGCCCAGGCCTGTCAATGGAACGAGCTTCATGGCCACCAAAGTTCCTATGATCGTTGCCACTGCCACCAAATCGTTTTCTCTTTTAGAGCATTGAAAGAAGAAAGAATCGCGTACCTGAGCCAAGGAGGAAGACGAGGAGGAGGCGACCAGTGGAAGTGAGAACACGCTTCATGTCCGCCGAGAAGAGCAGCAGTGGAATCGCGAGAGGCAGCAAGAAGGCATTGACAGTGCCATAGACTGACGATTCCGTGGCAAGGATGCCCAGATTGCTGGCCAAGAGCGCGAAGAGAGTGCTCACCAGCGCGCCGCTCAGTGCGCTCCCCCATTTGGTGCTTCTCTCGGACCTGGTGAAATATTTCCTAAGAACCCTATTCGTCGGGATCCGGGCGGCGGATCTTACCAGAGGCCAAATGCGCCCGATGCCAGCAGCACTGACCACGTCTTCCACGCATCCAAGTGTGGATCGCTCGCTGCCACGATCGAATGGGAAGCAGCAGCAGCAATCCGGGAAATCCGACGCGATCCGTTCTGGATCGATGCCCTCTGCCGCGGGCGACACTGGTGCTGGAAGGATCGCTTGGCATGGATTAGATCGTTAGTCGCGGATCTGGCGGAGATCGGAGACGCTAGAAGCATAGTTTCTAGAAGAATCAAAAGGGCCACAGTATGTTTAAAAGGAGTTTCTATTTAGGGTTCTTATTCTAGGGGTCTTCATGGATTTGGTCCCGGAACCGGAAGAAGGTGAGATTGGCGTCGAGGATGTGGCTGTGAGGCACGAGACTGCTGCCGCGACAGTCGATTCAATAGAATCGGAGATAGCATCGTTGGATGCTGCGAAAGATGGAGCTTGTGATGATATCATCGATTTGGCCTCCGAGGAGGATATGGATTGTTCCGATGATCCAGTACTGCCTCAAGGTATCCTTTCTAGAGCGTTTTGTTCACTTTATTTCGGAATTCCTGACTTGAGCTATAGCAAACTCCCGGAAAAGAAAATCCATCTCACGCAGAGACGATGGAGCATCTGTTCAAGTGACTTACACCAAACTTTCGAGGTTCTTTTTTTTTTTTTTTTTTCTTTTCCTTCTTTTCTTCTGCCGTTCTCATGTAGGAGTCTGTGAGCAGGAAAAGCCAGAAGAAACTGCAAGAGGTTTTACTGCATTGGTCTGAATGGCATGCTGCACAAGTAAGCGAACCAAATGTGGATTTTTTTCTCTCTCTCTCTCTAATTTGTTGGATTTCCTACAGAGCTTTGAAGATGATGAAGTACGAGAAGGCGGCACGGAAACGTATTTCCCAGCTCTGTCAGTAGGGAAAACTAAAATGGTTAATTTTTTTGTTTCAAGTTTTCGTTTCCTTGAAGTTTACTTAAGTTCGATTCTGTGCAGAACTTTTGGGAAGACAAGCCCTCAAAACGAGCTTGTGTTCTGGAAGAGAGACAAACGGAAGTTCCTCTGTATGATCGTGGATGTAGTGCCGTTTTGCAGCCTCTGGAGTTTCTTTCAGATCAAGGGTATAAAAATTAGTGCTGGTTACGATTTTAGTCGTAACGACTCATGCTTGGCAGATTCATTTTGGCGAAACAGGCACTTGGAGATTCCGGACGAGGCGTCGAGGTGTTTTAACTGCGGCTCCTACAGCCACGCTCTCAGGGATTGCCAGAGACAGCGGGATATGTCTGCTATCAACAGCGCTCGTAAGCTTTTCATGTCAAGAAAAGGAGGGTCCAACACTCCTTCTCGCCGCTACTACGAGAGCACTCCAAATGGGAAGTTTGACGACATCAAACCCGGATCGCTGCTGAGCGAAACCAGACGGTCCCTGGGGATTGGAGTACGTTTTCGTGGTTTTAGATAAGATTTATGCTTATTCCTTGTGCGCAGGAGAAAGACCCGCCTCCGTGGCTTCAGCGAATGCGAGAAATCGGCTATCCTCCTGGATATATGGGTATGCTCTCTTTTGACGATAGTTTATAGTTCTTTTAAAACGGTACCTCCTTTCCAGCTACCGAGACAGACGAGGACGAACCGTCTGGACTCATCATGTTTGGAGAGGACAATCCTTTATCTTTCACGGAGGATGGAGAGATAATCGAAGCGAAGCCACCATCCTCAACGTCCCAGAAGATGACAGTCGAGTTCCCTGGCATCAACGCACCCATTCCAGAAGACGCAGACAAGAGACTCTGGTCTCGGAGCCCCAGAGAAGCGGTGGCTCTGCACAGATCCTTGTCCGACAGTGGGAGGAGAAGGTCTCGACCTGATGATTACTTGACACCTCCAGGAGAAAAATCTCCCGCTCGTGATCGTGACCGAGACCGGGACCGCGACCGAGATCGCCACTCTTCCCGACATTCGCCATCTTTGTCCGGCCGACGAGAGCGGAGCAGTGCATGGGCCCAAGCTGAAGCTGCTCTGGATTCGGTTCGATCCAGCTACAGAAAGTAGGAAGACAGCAACCTTTTGTAACAGCAACAGCCGAGGTACTTTACTTTCCTCTTCGTCAAGTTTCCCAAAGCTCTTACACATATTTCTATGGCAGAAAAAGAAGCATTTGATAGACGCCAAAGCCTGGCATGGCGGTCTCCCCGTGGTCAAGTATCGGCCCCGCCACTTTGATGCGCACTTAGGTGATCTGTATCATATCAGCTTTATCCACTACACACAGCTGCACGATAAACTATCATGTAGACATCCTGGGTACGTTGTTCCCTTTCTTTCTTGCTCTTGTAGCTCTAGCTTAGTAGCTAGTGGATTGCTGATCTCTGGGGTGATCATGAGGCAGTAACTGGGAACCAGTGCTCGTCCGCTGGGTGGGGTCTGGCGTTCCTTTTGCTCCTTGATGATTGCCCGCCGTGGTACACCCGGGTACGTAGACTGTGATTTTCCGTACGTGGTAGAGGTGGTCGGCTGAGTGGGGGGCACACACTGGAAGGATCCTCTCGCAGGAACTTAGCTATTGGCAGAATATTCAGGAACACGGAAAGAGCGTTACAGTGAAGGAATCCCTCCGGAGAAGTCGATGGTCGCGGGAAAGAGCAGAAGTTAAGGTGGTGATTAGCGCACGAGTATGGAAGGATTGTGGGATAAGTAGTGGGGACTTGTCGGCTTCACACACAGGGAATGGGGGGAGTTATAGAACTTCTTTCTCTACACTTGGGGGTGGGCTCCTCCCTCCTCCCTTTCCAAGTTGCAAAGCAAAGCGGAGCAAAGTAAGATGCTCCTCCACGATCTCGAGTCTGAAGCTTGAAGGCTGAGAGAGAGAGCGAGAGAGAGAGAAAGCTCTAAACTACTACGAAGAGACGAGAGATGAAGACGAGCAAGCTTCGCAAAGCCAGCTAAAGCTACAGGTGAGTTTTTCTCCCTTGAGCAGACAAATTCCAGCTTTGGTTTCGAGTAATCATACTGATCACTGTTGTTGCGTTGCTGCTGGATATAAATCCGCCTTGCAGGTGTTTGTGGTCGTGGTTCTGGAAAGGGAAAAAAGGAAAGAGAGAAAATGGTGTCTGGCTGTGAGGATTATCCATCCTCACATCATCATCGCTCCACCACCACCAGCACCACCCCAGGCAATTTCTCTATACACACCTCGCTTCTACTTCTTCCAGTTTCGCGCTTGCCAAGCTTTGCGTTTCTTCTTGAGTAGACAAGAGCGTTTTCGTGCTGCTGCTTCATCTTGGTTTTATCTCGTCTGTGTGATCTCATCGGTTGCGTGCTTAATTGTCGGGATCTAGTTTGATTCTTCTTTCTTTTTCTTCGTCGCTGAGCCTCTTCTTCGCAGAGAGACTCTGTTTTTTTGTGATCAGTCTCCTCTTTCGTCTCCCTTGTTGTTGGAGTGCTACAAGACAAGCTCGTTCAGTTACGAAGAGAATATATTTCTGGGTAGCTGCTGCCTGGCTGCTTGAGTTTTGATTTTATCCCCCTCCGTGTCACACACACACACACACACTCGAGGTGGAGCGTTTTATTCTCTTCCGCTAGAGCGAGAGGTGTGGTTTTCCAATAGAGTCATCGTCTTCCTTTACCCCTTGCTTCGAGCCTGGAAACGCTCGCCGATGATCTCCTGGATTCCTGCATGAGTGTCTCACGTCTCAAGCTTGAGTCTCTCCCTTTTCTCTTCGCTCCAAAGGATGACAAGATCTCAAGGTGCTGGTGCTACTACTAATCCTCTTCCAGGTGCGAGCGTCCATCACAACTTCTACCTCGAAGACTCTCGAGCCGGCGCCACCAACTCTCGCTGCAACAAGCAGACGATCAACGCCGGTGACAATCCATGCCGCTTCCAGTCGCCACTTCCGTACATGCTCGCCGGCCTCGCGGCCATGGTTTTGCTCGTCGTCATCTCGCTTATGATCCTGGCGTGCTCATATCTCCGGGGCTACTTCTCCGATTCGAATGGTGGCTCCGGTGGTTCTTCCGGTTCTTCCTCGGCTCCAGGCAGCGATCCCGAGAATCCCAAGGCAGCGAGCTTGCAAGCCTTGCACAACGGATTTGCGGCTTCTCCCGAGAAGATTGTAGTCATCCTGGCGGGGCAGGACAAGCCCACGCATCTGGCTCAGCCGATCCAGGTGACGAACAAGCTCGATCTCGATCGGTCCTCGTCTGCCAGCGAAGGTGACGAGGATGGCGATCAACAAAAAGGAGATCGAGACGAGAAGAACGCAAAGAGGAAGAAGAAGAAGAACGCTTCCTCCTCCTCCTCTTCGTCTCTGGAAGATGATTCATCCAGCAATGACGTCGATTCGCAACAGGTATACGACCGAGTTTAAAGTTTGATTCCCGGAAAAATCTGGATCCATAAAGAAGAAAATTCCACAACACAGGGATAGTTCTCTTCGTCTTGATAGTAGCTGTGTCACGATTGTACGGCATTTTGAGCCTAGTACTGCCGGGTTTTTAATCTTTTGTGGTGGTGCGTTTTTTTTTTTCTCAATTTCATTTCCTTCGATCATACATTTCTTCACACAAGACCTGGAAAAAATCAAAAGGCATGAATCGACCATGTACGGAATACGTTAAAAGTGGCAGCGAATCATGCGTTGGAAATGGGACTTGTCTGTCAGATTTATGGTTTGGTTGTTCATGCAGGTGTGATGTGCAAAACCCCACGGCATGGCTGACATCTTTTTTTCTCTCTCGCCTGCCACGAACGGTCGATCGGTCAGAACGAGATCTCCGTACGGAACTAGGAATGATGAAAACTTGATCAATCTTTGAGGAACAACTCTTCCGTTCTTATTCAGAAAAATTCTTATCAAAAAATTATTGTACGCTCCGCTCCTTCTTTAGGAATATGAACTTATCCATTCATCATGATCTCCAGAAACCATAGTGTATATTACTTGCCGGGAAAATACTGTGCTAAGTTTAAAATGTAAAGGAGCTCTGGTTTTACTTGTTTCTTCTCGAAAGCATTGCTCTCGAATAAATCCCATTGAAACCACAACAAAAGAATAAAGACAATATAAGATTTACAATGATTACTTCAAGTCTTCCTCAATTGAGAATCTTTATTTTTATCTTAATCTAATGTTCCACTATCCCATTTTTTAAACGATAATATATTCTATCTCATTTCTATCTTGCAAGATGCAAGCTAATCACACTGTTCACACTGCAAACACTTCGAGTTTTTTCTTTGGCATTGTCAAGGATTGCAACCAAGGTAATATTAAGATTTTAAATGTAATATAAACTAAACTAATTCTTAGGTATTGTTTATACAAATTAAATACTTAGTTTGTATTTTTTTAATGTTAACCTTATCTATATAATTGATTTTAAAAATTATTATTTTATTTCTTAGATATGCTATAAATAAATATAATAAAAATATTTTTGTTTTATGCTTTATAATATAATAAGTTTTTAAGTTTTGTATTTTTCTCTACTTAGCAATCTGCATCAAAATAGATTTGGTTTTTTTTAATAAAAATGGAAATTAAAAACCAAATTCTAATATTAACAGCAATGATTCTCTCTCTACCTCTATCGTATTTTCTCTTTTCCCTTTTCTCTCTCTTGCTACAATAGTAGTTCAACACCATATTTTATAAATAATATTAGAAATGAAATATAGGTTCTTCCAAGTGTTTCATTTACAATCATATGGTTAAGCAATAGCATGCCACTTGTATTTCTTATAGAGTTGCCTTTTACAATTATTAGCATTTGGATAACAAGCATCTTACACCTCAATCCTCCAACCATACATTTCAGTTTCCATGTAATGGTAAGTAGGCCTTGACCACCAACATTCATATGAAGTCCAATCTGCTACAAAGTTTTCATTCCATATAGCATGACACCAAAACTATAATGTTATGATAATTTCTATTGCCTCTCTTAATATATAAAATATAGTCAAACTAAAAATAAATTTAGTGATTCTTACCATTTTTTACACTTTTAAAGTATTGATAGCATAATTCTATTTTTCTATATTTTATATATAATATAGTATATTACTATATTATAATATAATTCTATCCAAATGCTACACAATCCTCGTCTATAAAATCTCTTAATTCTAGGACAACTAGCTCTTCTACTAGGGTGTTTTCTTTAGGCATTAAATTTTTAGTCTAGAAACCACTTACCTATTCAGGAATATAGGATTTTCTTTAATCTAATATACTCAAAAAAAATTCTCTAATCAAGTTTATTCATAAATAAGTAAATTTCAGCTGAGGATTAGGGTGTGCAGTTAGTTTACAAAATTCGTCCTTACTACATCTTAGATAAATTTCTAAAGGTCCCACACGCATTGAGACTGAAGTAGTTTACAACATGACCCCTCTCTAATGTGGCTGTAGAATTTAGTGCCACCACCAAGTACCTTATGTTAAATAGCTTGTATTATTATATTTAAACCTGATTTAAATTTAGGCTATTTATATTTGTTCATTGAATAAAAATTTAGTTTAAATGAAGTTATTAAAATTCTCTTTTCTCACGTTTTTCTTTGGTTTATTATATTTTTAGTCCTGAAAGTATCACCTATTGATTTGTTTTGTATTATTATTATTTGACATAATATTTAAAAACATATTTAAGATAACTTAATTTTCCAAAGTAAACCAAGTTTTTTGCACAATGCAAAAAATTATTTTATTATTGATTTATAAATATATATTTTAATAATATGCTTGCTATAAAATTTATCAATAACACTACTCAATAAGTAATACTTATGTATAGCATAAGGTAAGGTTTTTAGATGCATTTTTTTCAATCAATGTATACTAAATAAAAAACTTTATGAAAACACTTAATTAACATATCCAAAAGAAAAAAAGATTCCTCAAGTAACCAATATAAATAGGTGAGATATAGAAAAGGAATTAAAGAAGATAAGTTTCACTAAATACATATTCTATTAGCTGAACAGTAATATGTGGTGAAAAAACATTAAACAATAGATATTTATTCCTGATGTAAAATTCTTTATTAATAATAATATTTATTGTTAAGCTTTCCTATATTACTTAAGCTAAGGGGTAAAGATAATATAAAACATATATGATGATAGTCATAATTTTAATTTTAGAAATTCAACAACAATTATTAAAAGATAAGCATAGCAGTAGCAAGGAGGGAGATACAGCAACAAACTCATTGCATTGCATTCTTGCTTCTTGATGCAAGATTATAAACAGTAGATGCATGTTGATTAGTAGCAATCAGGACTAATCGTAACGCCGGCAGCCTGCAAGAGCGGCCATTTAAGATGACAACTGAGCAAAAAGTCTCACAAGGAACAACATTAATGCCCACTCTGCTGGTACACACAGAGACTGGCAACGCGTTCCCCCCAGTTTATAAGCCGATCTCTCGATCAAAATCCCCAAGTGCTCCACTCTTTCATTCATATGGCAGCCACATTGCTTGCTACCTGCTGGTACCTTGTCATCCTCTTCTTTGCCATGGTTGAATCCAGAGACAGCAAGGAGTTCACTCCAGAGCTTCATCACCAGTGGGGAGGTGGAGGCTATGGCTATGGTGGCAAAGGACCCGGACCGGGATATAGTGGAGGCTATGGTGGCGGCAACCCCGGTTACAGTGGAGGCTATGGTAACAATCCTGGCTATGGCGGAAATCCCGGCTATGGTGGTGGCTATGGTAACAATCCCGGCTATGGTGGAACTTACAGTAATGGTCCTGGCTATGGCAACAATGGAGGCGGATACTCTGGAAGTTCCGGCTATGGCGGAAGCACTCCAGCCTTAGGTGGTGGTATTGGTGGGGGTCTACCCGGGACTTTCACTGGCTCAAGTGGAACTGGGGATGGATCTGTGGAAGGAACTACCATTCCAGATCATGGTACCGGAGGAGGGTACCCTGGAACTGGGAAAATCGATCCTTCTTCCACCACAAAGCCGTGACGATTTTTTTCCTCCTCTGTAAGTTTTCTACCGTAATATAGTGAAATCTTTCTGTGGTAAATAGTCGCTGTAAGTTTTGGAATGGAGAATGGATCGACGACAATGTGTCGATCTCATCAATTCTTGCTCGACGCTGTCCATGGCGAAAGCCACCGAGGCCAAACTCTCTCCGAATTTTCCGGACGTGTTCCTGAGTAACAAAATGATCCAAATGTATT